GAAGAAGGGTCTAGGCCCGAAACGTCAGCTTTCCTGCTCCTCTGATGCTGCTTGGCCTGCTGTGTTCATCCAGCTCTACACCTTGTTATCTCAGATTTTCCAGCATCTGCAGTTCCTACTATCTCTGAAACATTGTTAACTTGCTCCCAGGTTTCGACATACTGACAGATTTCCATGTCTAACACCACTCTGACTAGTTGGCATGGTCATATGACAAGTGTGCACAGGTAACTTGGATTTACCAGACTTATCATGGGCCTCCTTATTTTGGGTTTCTTACTCTGCTCGCAGGAATGGCTGAATCGTTCACCACATTTGGAAGTTTCAGGTTATCCAAATTTGACTATACTGTGTGAATACATGCTGGTGTTATAAACGCAATGGATTGGGAGAAGCAAGGCATTCTGGGGTTGATGGGGCAGATGTAGATAGTAAGACATGTGATAAAACCTCCATGACTACATCCAAGCAGAAGTTCATAACCCACAGCTCAGACTGAAGCCATTTATTGGTGAAATTCAAGCCAAAGCCCTGTTCCTAGAATCCACGTCATTGCAAATTATTAGATAAGGTTTTAGGAAGTGAAACTGCACATTTGAAGCTATTTTGTTCTCAGCTTATTTCCTTGTTTGTGGAGCTGACAGCCCATTCTGAAAGAAGTGAGGTGAACAATCTGCCCCAGGGACCTCTAACAATATGGCCCCAAGGTTCCCAATGGGGGAATTGTTAGTTTGTTGTGAAGGAATTTGGCACAGAAGGACTCTGCCCTATGATATCACAGATTGCTTTTAACTCCATAACAAAGACTTAACAAAGAGGTCCCAACAATGTGACATAAAAAATCAACCGCTTATCAATTCTGTAAGAATTAGATGCATTTTTGATAGATTGGGAGACTTTTCATTTTGCACTCAGCAGATTCTTTTCTAGTCTTAACGTTTCGGGTCCGGTGGCCCTTCCTCAGAACTCGGGTCACCGGACCCGAAACATTAATTCTGTTTTCTCCTCCACAGATGCTGCCAGACCTGCTGAGCTTTACCAGCAACTTTGTTTTTGTTCCTGATTTACAGCATCCGCAGTTCTTTTGGTTTTTCTTTTCTAGTCTTGCCTCATTTCCATATCCCTTTAACTTCCTTTTCCTTGAATTATCTACGTAATTCATTCCTAAATGCTCCATGCTCTCTCTGTTTCAATCGCTTAGATAAGCAAATCTGAATCTGTAAAAATATTTCTCCTGCTAATATTCTTAAACTTCTTCCATGTAATCTTACAACAGATCCTGAAATAATTTCACAGAGGCCAATAACCCGTCACCAAGTCACCATTTATTTACACGTCGAAATTCCTTGACACAGATCCAGCATCCTCAGAGCCAGCTCTCAGAGTGAACAGGGTGTCTGGCACTCATGTGCTTATCTGTCAGCCAGGGCTCCTTGATTAGACCAGGTGAACAGCCCCCAATTAGGGAACTCATATTCTATGAGGTCCACCTGGCTGACCTCGTTACAATCACTACATCCCTCCCCCTCTGAGTCCAAGGACATAGGCTGGTTCTTTTTTGTAATTCCTCCTGGGGCACTGGGTCAGGTTCTTCTGACTCTGCCTCTAATACAACAGCGTGGTTTTACAGGTGTAAGTCAGATGAGGATATGATTGAGCTTGAATGTGATTCTTCATTTTTCGTGGTCAAATCACCTGTAGTTAGGTGTTGGTGGGTAGAAGAACACAGACAGGCACTGTACAGTATCGTACCCATGGAACAGTACACCAGCTATAAATGACACCTCCACAGCCATCTGGAAGTGAAAGGATTCAGAGCTAGCTGAATGCAATTTCCAACAACACCGGTGTTGTGGGTTTTGGAAAGTGGTGGGCATATGGAGAGGTAGTCACTGCTTTATTTATAAGAAGGCAGACGCAGCTCAGAGGGCATCAGACCTGTGATATGAGCCCATTAGCAATGATACATTGTCTGTCACAAGTGCTTTGTGCCTCAGTTCCCGCACTTTCTGTCCCACAGACTTTAAAAAATCCCCTTTCTGGACGATGTGTGCCGTAAATGTAGAAAACATAGAAAGTTCAGCGAAAGTGCAGAAGTCATTTTTCCATTGTTTCCCAGTAAAACTCCATCAAACTGTTTCATGAGTGCCCTGTTTTTAGCAACACACATGGGATCATTGATTTTATTTTTCCATTGCCTCATTTGTGGATGGGCTTGTTGACAGCTCAGAAAGTGTAATGTGTTGTCTTTGGGAAGATGACTGTTGCATGACTGACTTGCAGATTTGGATTTATCCAGCTGATATCCCAGTGGAAGTGTGATACTGTGTGTCTGGCATCAAATTATAGTTACACGAACAAAAACAGGAAGGCATTCCTCCAATATCTACTGTTGCTTCACAAAGAGGTGTTAGGTAGTAATCAGGGATTGAAACTGTGATTGCAGATTTTTTCTTTATGTCCCTGCCCCTCCTCCCCTTCCAGAGTCAGAAAGTATCAATTCTGGAGCCCAACTGACGCTCAGCAGCCAATTCAGCACACCACTCAAACTCCTGTGGAGGAACCTTTAATCTGCCATACAGGAGTAGATCATTCAGCCCTTCATTGATCGTACTAATCTATAGTTTATCCACTTATTTTACTCAGTTCCATAGCCCTGGTGTCTTAGCTGAGTTGGCTGTATGGCAGGGCAGGATAAGAAAGTTCAAAACTAGAGGACATATTTTTATGATGAGAGGAGAAAGATTTAAAAGGGACCTGAGGGGCAATTTTTTCACACAGAGGGTGGTTCAAATGTGGAACTGCTGGACAAAGTGGCAGATGCAGGAACAGTTTCACCTGGAGCATCTTGGAGGATATTCATTCTCTTCTTCAGATGGCAAAGGCTGTAAGGCGGTGACACCCGCGTTTCCATCTCAGATTGTGAGCTCTCTTCAATGTTTGACAGAAAGGGAGAACCCATCAGTTCTGACAACCTTTCAGACTGTTTTGAGGAGGCTGGAAAGTTTTGCTCCTGCCCGATTTGCCAGTTTGCAGCTTTCATATGGTCCACGTGCTTGTTCAGGACTGTTGCACTAACCTGAACTTTATTCGCCACTGGACTTGACCTCGCTTCGACCATGCCTCTTAACTGTGCAGAGCCATTCCCGTGGTTTCACTTTAATGATTTGAAATTTTTCATTCTTCCATGGAACCTAGCAGTCACTTTTGTTGGCCGTTACTAATTACCATTGAACTGAATGGCTTAGTAGACCATTTCAGAAGGCAGTTAATAGACAACCATATTGCTATGAGTGTGGAATATCATGTAGGCCAAACCAGGAAAGATGGCAGATTTCATTCCCTAAAGGACATCAATGATCTTGTTTCAAATTGCCCTTTAATTTCCTTCAATGGAGTCAGTCTAACTTTTCAAAGACTGTACCAGAGAAATTCCTTGTGAATATATGTTGACCCCTGAGTCAACAACCTTTTCCTATTATAGAAACTGCACACAATATTCCAACTGTGCTCTGAATATAGTTTTACATAGATTAAATATTACAGCCCTATTTTTATGTTCTATAGTGGCTGGAACAAATGCTAGTGTACCAGTGTTCCAGCAGATTTTACGGTCTCATCCATTTGCTGTTTTTAGTACTTCGTGATCTAAAATTAAATAGCTGTCTGATCTTTCACTTCAGCTGAACTTGAAGCCTAATATATTTTACTTCTTTTAATCTAAGATCTACCATTTCATGCTTCATCTATTATATGACGGTCCATGTGCTTTGGGGAGAAATAAATGCTACATGTTACGTTGGGAAATGGTCTCTTTTAGAATTATATCTCTCTGGAATAAATTTGCTTAATAAAAATAAAATCAATCTATTTCTGGCAACTGCCTAGGATATTAACAATAGTAAAAAATGGGTCAACCAGAAATTCATTCTTGGAGTAAGCAGCTCCTTGAGTGTGGTTTATGTTTAAGCAATTTGGCTTTCATTCAAAATCAGCTCTTTCAAAGCAACATTTCTTTCAAACAGAATTCAATTTAAACTCTTTTTGTGGGCTAAAATTCTTCACAGAAAACTTACAGCTTTTTATGGCTTCAGTGACATGCAGTATTTTAACTATCGTTTGTGTTAATTAAAAAAAAAAATGTTCATACTTACTTTCCGCAGATGTCACGGTGGGTAGCCCTGTAGGTGAGTTGCAAACCAGTACATGCCTGAAGCCAATTTTGTATCATTTCTGGATGTCTGGGATCCACCTCAAGGAAGACCTTGCTAGAGTAAAGAAGAAGCTTGCTAAGGGAAATGTGATAACAGGAGGAGGCCATTTGGCACCTCAAGCTTGTCTGGCCATTCAATGAGAACTAACTGGCAACCAGGCTCTATCATTCTGACTTTATACTATTCTCCTCAATATTGTCAGATTAATAAAAAAATGTCAACAGAAAAGAAGCACCACAAGAAACAAACAACTTTCATTTATATAGCACCTTGCATGACCGCAAGATAACTCAAGTCATTTTAGACAGTCATTGAAATAAATTTGTAGTCCTTGTTAGGATGGAGGAAATGCTGCACAGTAAGCTCCCACAAACAGCAAATGAGATAATAATCCAATACATTTCTGTGATATAAAAACAAAATCTGCTACAAATACTCAGCAGTCAGGTGGGATAGCTGGTGAGAGACACATGGTGCCTTTGTTCAGTAAGGCCCACTGATCCATTTGCCAATCCAGCAGTGGCAAAACCACTTGTGGGCCCCTGGAATCAATACCCTGGTGGTGGATGTCACACCTAGTGAGAGCTGCAGGCCAATCAGAGGATGGCAGCTCTTGGTGCTTAGGAGTGCCAGTGGGGATGATGTGCCTAATGTTTCATCTGAAAAATGGTCCTTTATTTTCTACGGAGAGCAGTGCTCCCTCTGTACTGCAGTGTGAGTGCCAGTCTAATTATGCTATTCCACTAGGAAGAGAGTCTCAACGATGAAATGAATCACCATTGTTCTGAAATTATTGGGGGGAAAGGTGCACATCACTACAGCCTTCTCAAAAGAACAATTTTATTACTTTAAATTTTCTCCTACACTCCTAGGTATTTCCGGGAACTGGGGTATAATTTGTGGAGTTCACTGTGGCCTTCTGGTATCTCCCAAGTGGCCACACTGCATATAGTTCCAGGCAGAAGGGGCATGATTTCTCAAACTAGCAGAATCCCAAGTGAAGCCAGTCAAGGTCATACATCCAAATGCCAAGTCATTTTCCTGACATTTATGGGTTAAGGATTCTTGTTTTGCAGCGGTAGTGTCCCTATCTCTGGATCAGGGACCCAGTTCAAATCCCACCTGCTCCACAAGTATTGTCATAATGACTCTGAACAGCTTGACTGAAAAATACCCAGAGCATTGGTGGTTGCTGATTGTCTGCCCCTCTTCTGCAGCTATGTTCACGTCTGGGTATGCTTTTAATGAAAGGTGTGCTCTGCGGGGAATGCAGAGCTTTATCTGCCCTTCCAACTCTAGTTTGATTTAGCACCCTCCCCCTCCCCTACCGCTCCCTCACCTTTCGTGGTCTGTATTGCCCTTGCCGGGCATTGCACATAATTTGCACAATGAGAAACATGGGTGATTTAAAAACAGTTATAAGTCCCAAGGGTGATTTGGTGGTGGAAAAGGTCTGGAGCATTTCTGGGTCCTTGTGGCATAGGTGGCAACGTACCTACCTCTCAGCCAGCAGTCTGGGTTAAAATCCTACCTGCTCCAGAGATGTGTAATAACATCTGTTAACAGATATTGTGAACATGGAGAGCAATAATGTAATAGCTGCTGTCCCTAAATCATGGACACTGCAGAAGCTAGAGTGCATCACTGCCTCCTATAAACACATTCTAATTTAAATTCAGTCCCTTTCGAGATCTTGCCTTTACCTGTAGTGCCTCTTTGGGGCTGCCACAGTTCAAATTTAGCTCAGTTTGCTTTACTTACTTCGGTTTCATTTGGCTGAATTTGGTTTTGTTGTTTTAATTATTTCATTAAAAGAGTATAAATAAAGCCTGCCTGCCTCTCTTTCACAGTTACATCTGTGCTTTGTATCCTTAAAGAGGGAGCTCATGGTGTTGATGGCACAATTCAGATCCTTTTCAACTTGTATGTACCCCACAAAATTACATTCTAATTTAAATTATTAAGATTCCTTTGAGACGTTGTTGTTAGGTACAATGCTCCTATAACAGTTTGAAACCTGTTTAATCTGGTTCACTTTGGGATTCAATGTTTTCATTGATTTATTAAATTGTATGAATGGTGATTGCTGGGGTACAGTGGTGGGGTTTGTAGGAGCCAGACATAAGTAATGGTGCATCCTGCAAATAAACCTATTACCAAGAAAAGGAAAGGATTTGTGGCTAGTTTCATAATTCACCACCTGGCCTGTAATCCACTATAACAACATTCAGTCACAACTCGTTGCAATTTACATGTCAGGGCCTGAATGGAAATCAGGGGCAATGGTTAGACTCTCTCTTGTTGGACATGGTCAATGCTGGCACTCGTCTGGCATGAATGTGACTTGCCATTCCTTGGCCAAGCCTGGAAATTGTTTAGGTATTGCTGTACTTGGACATGAACGGTTTTAGTATTAGAGGGATTGTGAATGGTGTTGAACATCTGGCAAGCAAATATTGTGAATGGTGTCGAACATTTGCCGAGCAAATATTGCAAGTAGTTGAAGATGATTGGGCCTACCAATAAGACACTACCCCGTGGATAGATGTCCTCCTGCAAGGGTGTCCTGCAGCTGAGATGACTGACCTCCAACAACCGCAACTACCTTTCTTTGTATCAGATAAAAAACGAAAGAACTGCAGCTGCTGCAAATCAGGAATAAAAACAGAAGTTGCTGGAAAAGCTCAGCAGGTTTGGCAGCATCTGTGAAGAAAAAATCAGAGTTAACGTTTCAGATCCGGTGACTCTTCGTCAGAACTGATTTTACTCTTATTTTTCTTCACAGATGCTGCCAGACCTGCTGAGCTTTTCCAGCAACTTCTGTCTTTGTTTCTTTGTACCAGTTATGGGACTCCAACCAGTGGAGGTTTTCCCCCCAAACCCTATTGACTCCAGTTTTGCTAGGATTCCTTGATGCCACACTTGGTCAAAAGTACTCTTGATGTCAAGGGCAGTCTCTTTCACCTCACCTCTGGTGTTCAGGTCAGTGAGAGGGAGAAATGAAAAGCCAATATTAGAGAGCCACTGGCTGTATTTGGATTGGTGGAACTATGTAACGGCAGTCCAAAGGAGCTGGACAATAGGAAGAGGGCAAATGGAGAAGGATAGTATCATGGTCAACAACAACGAACACTGGAAAAGTCCAGTAGAATAATGAGAAATGATGCACCGTCATCCCAGTCACCAAGGGCAAAATATATAGCACTCAAGTTCAAAGAATCACCACTGAAATGGGCTTGGCAGTAAAAGTATTTTCTGGCTGGTGTGCTACTGAGCCAAATTCACCACAGGTCTCAAGCATGTGTTGTCTTACCTGATCTGGATTCTGTGACACATTTTGGTAGGAAGAACATTGAAAGACAACACAACATAGAGGAGATAGTAAGAACTGCCGATGCTGGAATCAGAGATAACACAGTGTGGAGTCTAAGGGGATTGCAAGAGCAGAGTGGCCTGGGTGTTTTTGTGCACAGATCATTGAAAGTGGCAGGACAGGTAGAGAGTGCGGTAAGTAAGCATTCAGTATCCTCAGCATTATTCACTAAAGATCTTTACACAGCACCTTCCACATCCACGATCACTTCCATTTAGAAGCACAAGGGCAGCAGGTACATGGGAACATGACCACCTGCAGGTTACCCTCCAAGCCACTCACCATCTTGACCTGGAGGTATATTGATGTTCCTTCACTGTCACTGGGTCAAAATCTGAGAATTCCCTCCCTAAGGACATGTGGGTCAACCTACAACATGTGGACGGCAGCGGTTCAAGAAAGTAGCTCACCACCAACTTCTCAAGAACAACTCTGTATGGGCAATAAGTGCTGGCCCAGCCAGCAATGGCCATGTCCCACAACTTAAAAAAAAAGTAATAGGGACATAGTGAACAGGAGCAAGGAGGTGATGTTGAACTTGTATAAGACACTTGTTAGATCTCAGCTGGAATACTGTGTACAGATCTTGTAGTCACAGTATAGGAAGGATGTGATTACACTGGAGAGTGCAGAGGCAGTTTACATAGATGGTTTCAGGGATGAGGAACTTATTATGAGGATAGATTGAAGAAGTTGGGACTGTTGTTTTTGGAGAGAAAAGAGCTGAGAGGTGATTTGATAGAGGTTCTAACAATCATGGATGGGCTGGATAAAATAGATAGGGAGAAGCTTGTCCACTTGTTGAAGTAACAAGAACATGTGTGTATAGATTTAAAGTGATCTGCAAAAGAAGCAAGGACGAAGTGAGGGAAAACATTTTTTCACTCAGTGAGTAGTTATGAGTATGGAAGACACTGCCTGGAAATGAGGTGGAGGCGGATTCAATTGAGACATTCAAGAGGGCATTGGATGATTATTTGGATAGAACTAATGTGCAAGAGGAAACTGGCACGAGAGAATGATGTTTGGTTAAAGATCTAGTGCAGGCCCCACGGGCCTAATAGCCCCCTTTTGTGCCATAACAATTCTGTAATTGCGACAGATCTACCGGTTAGAGGCTGGAAATAAAAGGAATTGTGGAACAATCTCATGCACATGTGAACACTGTGTGAGGGACAGGATCTGCCTCAAGTGCAATGCTCTCATAGTTGAATGCCTTCCACCACCATTTGGGTTCCAGGTGGTATGGACAAGGTTCTGGAGAACTGACAGTGCTTCTGGAACTCTAGGCAAGCAGGAATCAGCATATTGAGGAGAGGTAAAGACAAAATTAAAACTTTCCCTGCAGGAAGTTTTTCTTCCCATAACATGTTTTCCATGAAATTTGCAATGGTAGCAGAAATGTGCTCAGTGTACTGAATCCGAACACTGTCCTAATTTAGACACAAAATTCCAACAAACCAAAATTGACTACCTAAATGAACCCATACTTAATTTTAAAGATTTCCTTATGTAAACATTAAGACTTTTAATTTATAACCTGCATTCAAAAATGACCTCTTTCCCCAGTGATTTAAGCTGTGCATTTCAAACACTGATGGTTCATTTCTGGGCTCCTGTTATCACATGTCATTAATTGGCCTGTGGTGGATTGCCAGGCGTTATACATCAACAGGAGAGA